AGTTTGAGTGGGGTTAAGGGCTGGCTTCCCAGTGACCCTGATGCTGTGCGACAGGTTTCAAGAGCAAGCAGGGGTCCTCCAGGTGGAGGACCAGAGGGCCCAAGAGAAGCCTGGAAGCTGAGTGAGCAGGCCTTATGTGAGACAGTTGTCCTAAATAGCTTTTGCAAAGCACCACCAGAAGGAGAGCCTCCTGGTACCAGAGAAAAATAGTCACAGCCCCTTCCCTAATTGTCAAACTGAGTCCATGTTGAGAGTCTAAAGTAAATAGCTAGGCAAATAAAGTAACAGCTGGTAGGATGACCAGGGGGGATTACATTTATGTTGGCAGAAAAAGAAAGGCTAGCAGAAGGATGGAGGAGAGAGAGGGCTTCTGTAGGGGTGTTCCATGCTCCGTGCCCATTGCACCTCTTGTGATCCCCAAGGCTGCTTGGGGCCCCCAGGGAGGACCTGGCTTACTCATGCTTCCTAGAGCTGGGGTGAGATGCTGCTTTAAGCCACACAGATGACTCTGTGATCCATTCTTCAGAGGGTCATGTGTTCAGGGTCCCTCAAACCCTGATCCACTTCTTTCTCACTGCGCAGCATCAGATGCTTAATTGATTTCTCTGGGACTGTCTGATTAATAACCCATCAGGCTCCTGTCAGATGAAGGAGAAGTCAGAGCAGAAGGCTTGCCAGACCTCTGCCATGGCTCAGCTGATCTCAGGCCTGGTTTGGGAGCCTGGAGCCCATTTTGTGGTCACACTGCATTTTTGGAACAGCCTTTCCACCCTCTGAATGGGGCTACCTAATGGCCTTTGGGCCATCCTGGGGGAGGGTCACAGAATGGCTCACAGTGCCTTCTCATGGGCCAATGCAACCCTTGAGCATTGCTAAGTTAGAATGGACAGCCTCCCCTGTCATTCAGTCACAAACATGATTAAAACACAGAGCTTTGCTATTTAAGAGCTGTCGAGGGAGGCAGACATGCCACATAGTATTCTGACAGAATGCACACTCTCAGCCGAGGGCCAGGAATGGTTCCCTCTGCTTGGGAGCATCAAGTAGCCATCAACAAATCCTCATAGAATCCTTACTGAGCACAGACTTCCCACTTTACCCTTATATCTCACAAGTCCCCCATAGGTCATCTCTTCAGGTCCCCACAACCATCTCCAGATTTAGTAGTAGGGCTCATGGGACTCACGGATAGCCAGACCAAGGGTCCACTTTATTAAGGTTAAAGGATACAAAGCAATAGCAGCAAAAGAATGGAGCATGAGGTGAAGTCCAGAGACATCAAACCAGGTTCAATTCCATAGTCATCAGTCCTCAATAAGTATGACAACATGTGAAATGCTGCCAATCAGGGAGCTCTTTAGCTTCTCGGTGCCCAGGGTTTTTACTAGGGGCTGGTCTGTGGGCCCTCTGCTTGGAAAATTCCAGAATCCCAGAAGGAAGGCAGGCATTCTGCATTAACCATGTTGTTTTTGCAGGTAGTTTAGGCAAGGGTGAGCCAGCTATTCCGGTCAGGGCATAGTGGGAACACTCCTGAAACCTCAGTTCCCAGATGCCAGCCAAGAGCCCGCCTGATAGCAGCCCTTCTTGCATGTTAACTCTTTTCCACATAAGTAGGTTGTCTTATTAGCATCCCCATTATAGATGAAGGATCTGAAAGGCAGAAGACTGAGTTACTTGCCTAAAGTCCACAGCCAGCAAATAATAGGGCCAGGTACCCAGGCTGGGTGGCTCAGAGCCTTTGCAACCCACAACTGCCCAAAGCCGACTTCCTAATTACTGAAAGTAGCTTGTAAAGGCATCTGCAGGTGGGAGTTTGCAGGGGAAAATGGAATTCTGAGTTGAGGAATTGAGCAAAAAAGCCCAGAGCTGGGAGAGAATGTGGCATTTTGGAGAGGTGGCAAATAGTTGGGTGAAGTGGGAGCACAGGTGGTCTCATGAGGATGTCAGCAAAGGAGAGGGACATTGGAGGACCTGAGTTACATGAAAGGAGGTTGCACTTTTCCCTGTGGCCACGGGGGCAGGAGTGGTAGAAGTGGGGGTGAGTAGCTAGCTATAAGCATCTTTTAAGTTCAAAAGTGGAATTATGGGATGGGCTTTTGGAAGGATCTCCCGGTGCACTTTTTGTTTCTTCCTTTATTTGTTCAAATGACAGCTCTAAAACTGACTGTGGTCTTGATGGAGTCATTGACCCCCTGCACACTGTGGGGTCTCAGACAGGTTTGAATCCTGCCTGTCCTACCTCACTGGGGGATGGTAAGATTCAGATGAAGTGGTAGCTGTCCCAGAGTCTTGTGGGCAGGAACACAGTCCAGGATAGCAGGCTCATTGTGTAGAGATGGGCTGTTGAACAGAGACGTCTTGGGGGATGGCTGCCTCTGCGATTCCTGGTCACTTCTTTCCTGAAGCCATTTCTGCCCTTGCAAATAAGCTCAACCTGCCCTGGGTCACAGACAGGCCTGGAAGTTCCTGCTTCAGGCAGCTCAGGGATTAGTCCAGGCATAAAGTGGACCCAGTCTCCTCTCCACTCTGAGAAGGGCTCCAAGAACAGAACAGCACCTGAGTGTAAGAGCTGGTGACCTCTTTCTTGAAGGGCATCTGGTGCTGTAGGTCAGATATTTGGTTTGAGTCCCATCCCTGCCTTTCCTTGCCAAATGACCCTGGGCAGTCACTTCATCTGCCTGAGCCTCAGTTTCCATATCTGTCAGAGAGGTAGTAACACCCATCAAAGTGAAGGTCAAATGAATCAGGTGTCCATTCCTGAGAGCCCCTAGTAGTAGTGAGCAGGAGACCATGCAGGACCCTGACCCGGGAGGGCTCAACAGCTTAGATTCCCAAGGAGGAATTCTCACAGCCATTGTTTCTTAGAAGAACTTGGCACACAGAGTGTTGCAGGGTAGCAGGAGCAGGGTGGTGGTCAGGTAACTTAGGGAATGTCCTTAAGCTGGCAGCCAGGACACTGGGTTTTCATTTCAACTTCAGTGCTATCTTGCTGTGTGTACAGGAGCAGGGTATATGTGTTTCTGGGGCTCAGTTTCCTCATCAGTTAAATGAGCACAAATAATTTGGCCCAGAACTAAGTTTTACAAGAAGAGAAAAAGACTATCTTAAGGTAGTAGTAACATTCTGAACATCCATTGTTCACAGCAAGTGCACAAATCCCACCCAGATTCCCAAGGGATCTAAATAATTTATATCCAAGCTAGTATGTTTGTAAAGCTCTTTCAGGAGGTCTGGCCCCCTATTGCTGTAGAAATCCTTTATTCTGTTGCACTGCTTCTTCCCTGATCCTAACAGACCTGTACTTTTAGAAGGCAACTGCCAACATTGCCAGCTCTCTCCCTTTTTAGAAATAAGTTTCTTTCTAAAATATAAAAGTTAAAAAAAAAAACATGCGATTCAGCACTTGACAATCCCTCCCTTTAACATTTTGATCTTCATCCTTTTGTTTATCTCTGAAAACATACTTACTTATTTATTTGTGTCTGAGACACAGACCTGACTCTGAGAGCACAGTGTGTCCTGGTGACCCTAGCCAAACTCCCAGGTGTTTTGGGGAGTGGCCTGTGCAGCCAGCCCCAGTCCCAGGGGGGCAGCAGAACTCTTCCTCCATGCAGCGATGGGTGGGGCTGCTCATGCTGGGCTATGTGGGCTGCAGAGAGACGGAAACTCCCTCTGGAAGTACAGGGAATGGAAGAAATAAAAATAAATGCCACCTGCTGCTATCTTCAATTAAGCACATGGTCCATGTACCCCGAATTCAGCAACACTCGGCACAGATTTATTTAGTCCCTATGTGCCAGGCATTCCTCTAAGACTCCGAGCACATAGTAGTGAACAAGATAGATAAGTCTCCTGCCTCGTGGAAATTGAATTGCATTAGGAAGAAACACAATTAGCAGATAAACATATATATGTTTATGGCTTCCCCATCATCACTCCCTGGCCCCTGTGCAGTTTTATTATTCATAGGGCTTAACGGTTTTGCGAGGAGGGGCAAGCAGAGAGGAGAGAGAAGAAGGCAGTGCTAGGGCCAGCAGTGGTTGGGAAGTGAGTAGGAGCTGCTCTAACAGGGTGAGAAGGTCCTAGTTGAGGAGGAAAGAGGTGACCCACACAGGCCATTGCAGAAGGATGATTCTGGCAGAGGAACACGAAGGCTTAGCTTGTTTTAGAAATGCAAGAGGGCAATGTATCTGTAGTCTAGAATAGGAAGTTTGAAAAGTGGTGGAAAGCTAGATCTCGCAAGATCTTGTGGGCCCTGGGAAGGACTAGAGAGGGTTGAGGACAGAGAAGTTATCCAAATTACACTTGAGGGTCTATCATGTGAGCCGTTATCCCCTTTCGGGGATGCTCAGAGAATCCACTTACTGAGAGCAGGTGAAGGATGGACCTGGGACCTGAACCCAGATGGTCTGGCCCTGAGCTTGTATGCCTCCCCTGGGCCCCAGGCCTTTCCTCAGCAGGACTGCCTGGCTGAGGGTAGCAATGAAGCCACTCTGAGGGACTTCCCCACCCCTATAGCTCCTCCCAGGCACTGAGGGATGGCTCGGGGGCCTTGAACACCACCAGAACACCTGCTGCCCAGCCTGCCATGTTTCATGACTCACCTTAAGGGGAGGTCCCCACGGCCACTGCAGTATTCATTTTGGTCTTTGAGGCCAGTCGGGGGTCAGCAGTCACAGGTTGTGCTGAGTGAGGCAGGGTTATGAAGCAGAGAGGACCTGAGTGCTGGGCTCCAGCAAACCCAGGAGCCAGTGTCAGCTTATTGATATGACCTTTAAAACATTACTTGTCAGCCTTGCTCTGCCAGCCTACAAAGCAGAGGTAACAGTACTGAAATATAAAATAAACGTTAAAAAAAATGCAATTCAGGCACTAGACAATCCCTGCCTTTAACATTTTGTTGGGTTGCTGTGAGGAATCAAGTTTAAATCAGACAGTTGTAGAGTTCCTAGAAGAATGAATAAAATATGGTAGATACAGGATAAATAGCAGCTATCATATTTAGCATTAGCACTTTTATTATATTTTTGTAACCCTTAATAATCATCCAATATTAATCCAGTTGATGCTCATAGCAAACTTGGTGAGCTTAGTATTACAATCCTCATTTAACAAGAGGGAAGGAAGGTTTAGAGAATTTAAGGTTCTTACCCAAAGTCACACAGCAAGAAGGTAGCATAAAAGATACTTGGATCTGGGTATGCTGTTTTCAGGTCTGGGCAGAGTCAGAAAGAAGGTCTGCCTCTCAGGACTGGGCCCACACTTGACTTTCTGCAGCCAGTTCTTCCCTGGGGTGCATGTAGCAAGCTGAAGCTCTGCTGGCATGTTAGAGGTGATTCACTTCAGGGTCATATAGTGTGGTGGGAACCTTCCTGAAAACAGCAGAAGACAGAAGACAGAGCACCTGAGTGTGACAGATGTCACTTAGCAGGCCTGGTTGGGATCAAAAAGGGCCAGTGAAGCTATCATCATTCATGCTATGCTGCCCTTAGTCAGGGGGTGATGAGCCCCCCTGTGTCTTCCATGGGGAGCCACCCTTGCCAATCAGCCATCACTCAGGAGCCCACATAGCTAAAGGACAGTGACACTTCCCCCATGGTCAGCATCCACCTGGAGGCTGGGAAGAATACAGATTCTCAGTCCCCACCCATTGACTCTGAGTCCCTGGAGGTGGGCAGTGCCTGCCCAGCTCTCCAGATGGTCCTGCTGGTCACTCCAGTGTGAGCATCATTGCTTTAGAGATGATAGGCCCAAATGCTTGGCTTTCTTGTTTCTTTACACAAGTCAAATGAATGTCTCCTGTTAAAGCAGATGTAGGTCATTGAGTGGGTGATTAAGTGCAAGGGTTGGATCTAGATTCACCTGAGCTCACATTCCTGCTTCCAACCTTGCTCACTAGTGACCTTGGGCAGGGCCATCACCACTCCCATTTCAGGCTCCTCAGGTGTGGGATGGGAAAGCACTGCCTTCCTCACATAGCCTATTTTGAAGATTTGAGAGAATGGGTGTAATGTGCCTAGGTCAGTGCTGGACTCCTGTCAGTCCTCTTCAGGAACAGCTGTGATTCGATGCACACAGCTGCCATTCAGGTTTGTATATAGAATGCTCCCCCTGACTGCTGTGAGCCAGGCAGACCCCTTGCACATGTGGCTTGCACACTGACCCCATCGCCTGGAAACCATGTCCCGCTGGTCTCACACATAGCTGCACCGAACAGTCACTTTGTGTGTTTCTCTACTCTCCCCCTTCATCGATGCATGACTCATTGCTTCATTCATGTCTCCATGTGTGCGTAGAAACCTAGGCAAGCAGCCATTCCTAGGGACATTGCAGGACAACCTCATTGAGATGGACATTCTCAGCGCCTCCCGCCATGATGGGGCTTACGGTGACGGGTAGGTGACATCCCCATGCTCCTCCTCTCTGTGTGTGCTCTCCTTGTGGCTCCTGCACTTGCATGCATACCCTGAGACCTTTCCCTGGGATCTCCTTGGGGAAACAATGCCATGTCACATGCCCATCCCCAATTCCATGTTCAACTTGCAGCAGTTTGTCCTTGGAATCCCTTGTCCTCCAGCATATTAACAGCAGTCTTGTTAATATGCCGCTCTCCCCATCTCATTGGCTGCCTCCACCATTCTGAAAACCATATCACGTAGCAATTTTTATGCAGTACAGGCTATGTATTGTATGCATCTGGCCCTAAGTGTGTATTCTGTGGCCTGAGGCATTTTGTACGCCAAGAGGGATGGGTTCCCACCAGGACTAGGGGACTAGGGTATGCAGTGCAATGAAAGCACTCCATTTCTCAGGCTGTATGCAGGTCCTCCTTGGCCATGGTTAAAACCAGGCTGGGGAAGATCTCCGGACACCTAGTTTGGCTATAACCATGTGCTTTGACCATGCCTCGCTGCCCTCAAGATTGCAGTGAGGCTGTAGGATACAGTCACCCATCTGCCTCCCACCCAGCTTTCATGTGGGGCTCAGAAGGCATTGGCCTGTCTTCCAAGCAGATTGCTTTGAAGACATTCTTAACAGCCACTAGCAGACTCATGGCCACAGGCAGAACTTAGTGGTGGATTTTTGGCTTCCAGCCCAACTAAACCCCTTTTAAAAAGTAGGATATTCCAGTCCTTAACCAATGTGCACTGGTAATGCAAGTATTGGAAGAAGAAGAAAAAAATTAGATCCCGTATTCAGCGCCTCAGGAACAGACAGGATTTTAGACACTTTCCAAGTTACTTCAATAATTTCAAAGAACAGATAGTTAATTCCTCAAGCTACTCTAAGCACCATCAATTCCCACGAAAAGGACCTCCATGCCAGCCTGGGTTGAGTGGGTAACAACTTCTTCCCTGGCTTCAGTGGGGTTGTCATAGGTAGGGCTGTCCCATTCGTGTTCCCTGGAAACCTGTCTTCGTGCCCGTTCTGTGATCCGGTTTGTGACTCTCCTCTTCCTGTCCCTGCCATCTTCTCTGTGGTGACTCTCTCTCTCTCCAGGCCCTCTGCATGCTTCTCCTGCGGCTTCTGTCCTGCAGGTCGAGCCGGGCGCCTCGTCAGCTGGCAGACCCTGACGCCCTCTGGCCTCTCTTCATCCACAGGCACTTCCTCTTCAAGCCTGGAGGCACCTCCCCACTCTTCTGCACCACATCTCCAGGGTACCCACTGACGTCCAGCACCGTGTACTCACCCCCGCCCCGCCCCCTGCCCCGCAGCACCTTCTCCCGGCCAGCCTTCAACCTCAAGAAGCCCTCCAAGTACTGCAACTGGAAGTGCGCAGCCCTGAGTGCCATCGTCATCTCGGCCACACTGGTCATCCTGCTGGCGTACTTTGTGGGTAAGTGCATCCTCATCCCAGCTCCCCATGGCTCCCCTTTGGCCCAGAGGGCAGCAACCAAGGTGCCTGTGGGCACAGAAGCCTCCTCACCAGCACAGCATGAGTGTCATAGATTGGAGTTACTGAAAAATAAATGGCAAACGGAGAGACTGGAGAGAAAGCAGCAGGTGGCTATAGTGAGGAGTAACAAAGGGGTGGAGCACCCCAGCATTGGAGGGAAACTGCCAGGGAAGCCTGTCAGCTGGGAAGGGTCTGGCATGGTCATCTGAGGGTGTCAGAGGGACCAAGATTAGAGTTGAACCAGGGTCAGGAGCACAGAGAAATCCCAACTGAGGAGCCATGGGTGCCAGTGAGCAGACTGAATGAAGCACAGAGACTTGGAGCCACACTGGCTTCGTGCTGCTTACCCCATCCCAGGGCACGGACATGATGTCAGAAACTCCTCCTGATCCACTGTCTTGGTCTTGCTCCCAGACAAGCTCCCAATCTGTGTTCTTTTGATATATTTCTATCACAGTCTGGTTTCCATCTTTTGACCCTCTCTTTGGTCTTCTCCCAGGAAAAGATTAATCTGAAGAGATCTGTGGGCGTTGTGTAGAGTCTCCACCTCTATGTAACCCAGCCAATTAGTAAAGGCTTAACCTTCTGTGTCCTTTCTAGCCTTCATGTTCTATAATTCTAAGACTTAAGGTAGGTAGGTCAGGCCAGCCAAAGAAGCCCTTGAACCCAGACTAAGGAATTCAGGGACAATTATGTTAATAAATGTTTTTTGTTTTGTTTTTTTCCCCTAACATAAGCCAATAAGTAGAAATAGAACTAACTGGCAGAGGCCAAAGGAAGACAGAGTGCCATCCACTGTGAAAAAGAACCCGTAACAAGCAAAGTCATTGTGAGTGAAAAGTGGGGCTTGGCTTGAGAGGTAGACAGTGCTGGCACTGAGAGTGATGACCTCCACTTGTTCTGGAGAAATGGCTTGAATATGGGTAGGGTCTAGGTAAGGATGTAAGCTCCAAGATCACTTCTCCTCAAGATTTTTGAATTTCATAAAAACCAGTAAAGAGAAAGATGATAGTCCAGCAAATAGGGAAATCTTGTATTTCACACTATAATAAGCCTCACTGGGTATGACAGGTCTCTTTTTCCTCTTTTAAAGATAGGCTCAGAGGAATGCATGGCTCCAAAGCAGGATGGCATACATGTTTAATCTTTTCTTCTATCTAATTGATTAGTTGTTATTACCTAGAACGTTGTGTTGGGAAGGATTCTGAGGTTATATTCAGACTCAAAAAGAGTGTCTGTGATTGATTAGTGATGTCTGTCACAGTTGCAGGAGTAGAGAATATAGATGACTTACCTCTTATTCGCCATTCCTGCTATGGGTCATTAGATAAAAGGAACAGCCAAACTGGTAGAGGTCAGGGCCATCAGGCTCTCTGAGAGGGGCATCATTGATGTAGCCTGGATCACAGGTGAGGGTTGTGGAATTCATGAACCATCACCAGCATCATTAGAAGTATGTCGCCACCACCTAAACCCCTGACATAGCCCTCCCTTGCTTTTGTGATATTATTGTTTTCCTAAATTAGTAGACTATTAGAAGGCACTGTCACTGTTCAAGACCAAATACTTTGCAACATATAGTCAGCAATATTTTGCATTGAAGCCTTGAGATTTATACCAAATAGCTGCTTTAATCAGCTTTTGCATTGCTGTGACCCAAATACCTGACAAGAACAATTTAGAGGAGGAAAAGTTTATTTTTTTTTCTCATGGTATCAGAAGTTTCAGTCCATAGACAGCTGATTCCAAAGCTCTGGACCCAGGATGAGGCAGAACATCATGAGGGAAGGGTATAGCAAAGGGAAGCTGTTCCCCTCATGGTAGCCAGGAAGGAGAGAGAGAGAGAGAGAGAGAGA